GTACCCTCATTAAAAATTTATTGGTTATAATAAAAGACAAGAGCCAGGCCTCGCCATAAAAAAAAAAAAAAAAAAAAAAAGATATAAATAGATTCAAATAGATGTAAATTTATTCAAATAGATTTAACTATTATTTAAAAATGTTAGAATCTTTTTTCCTAAAATGCTCAAGTAAATCCTTTTAAAAAAGAGTATACGTAGCAAATATTTGAATGATCTCAAGTCAAGAACTTTACGAATATGGTGATTTAAAAATACAGATCAATGAAAAAAAAAGACTTGTATTACTATTCGCCAGTACAAACATGAATACAAGTAATCTAGAATAGGAATAAAAGAGTAATCAAACTTATAACTATGTTAATTATGTCTATGAAATTACTTTCTTGTCTTAACAAAAAATATTTCTGGCATACTTTAATTATATACTATGATCTTTATAACCACAAATACAATTATAAATAAAGCTGGATACCATTATCTTCAGCGACAAAATAGCTGATTTCAATGAATTAAATAAGAATTTAATAACTGATCTTTTTTTAAAAAAAACTCTTAGTTTAAACTATAAGTTCTCCTACAAAGTAAATTTTTAAAAAAATAGTTAATATATAATTTACAGATGAAATACAATTCGAAGCTTAATCAAATTTCAAATTGTATCTTTTCTGTAAAACTAAAAAATTTGCTTGATTATTTAACAGAACCTATATTAACTAAAAGAGCATTTTTTTATTAAGTTTAAGAATTTTTAATAATATTAATGTTTGTTAAAATTTATGACATTTTACTATAGATTATCGTGACTATAATACAACAAAATTTATACAATCTACATATATAGTACATTTAACACTGCAGAGTTACACTTAACAGTAAGTGGTCTATCATCCAATAAAATCAAACTTAGGCTATATAAACTTATACATTCAGTTTTCATACATATCCCAAGCAGGTTAGTCAGATTGAATTTTAAAATTTAAATTTTTTTAATATATCAGCCAATGGAAATGCTTGATGTAAATTATGTGATCAAATCTGATATTGATATTGATATGTATTAGAGTACTTTAAGAACACAATATTACACAGGTAACTATTCTTAACAAACTTTGTTTCTAGCTTCAAGAAGGTGCTAGAAAGCTAACTTTAAAAATAATTTCCAAGGCTATACAAACTAATATTTTTGGTTTTAATATCAGAAGAGTAGGAATCTAAAATTTTTTATTTTTTTAATATATTAACCAATTAAAACCTTCATGCATATTATATGACAAAGTTGAAATGTTGAGTTCTTGTGAAATAATAATAGTTTCATTTTCTAATTATTTTTTGCATTGATCTATTATAATATAATTAACATCTAAATGCTAATTAGTGATATACTTTATAATGTGTAATTAAAAGCATATATACTTAGCAACAATAAATAATAATAAAACTTATTTTATCAGCATTCAAAATATATAGACTACACTTAATTTTAACCATCAAAATCATCCAAATTGTTATAATTATTAAGATACAATTACAAAACAGTATAAAGTATAGCGATAATACTGAGGTGTTTTGCAGACCAGTATAATAAACCCCCTAGCATCAGCACCCTAAAAAATTTTGCTACTATTTCACCAGCCAATCAGAATTCAAGATCTGGTGTAATACAAAAAATGCTAAAAATCAAAACAAACCAAAAAATCATTCATAACTTAACATTTTATCTATGAAACTGCTTTTTGCGTATTAACAAAAAGTTTCTTTTGCGAAATTTTAATATTAAAGAAACTTTTTTTAATCTAACTTAATAGTAAAACCTAACCTTAATTTAACTGCGAAATTTTTTTTAGTGAAATTTTTTAAGTTGGTGACACTAGGGTTTTATACCATACTGATCTCTTAAATTTTATACATTTCACATATGCTATTACAGTAGTTCAAAATTAATATCATCTTAATACAAATCTGTAACTAATCTTATCATGTATACAGCTATTCAAAAAAAAAAAAAAAGATATTAAACAAATTTTTTTTTGAATCTTAAGGTGAGGCTATGTCTTTAACTTTATTAAAACTCAATCAAATCTCTTTACAAGCAAATTTACAAGAAAGAAATTATATATGACTTTTATTTCCAAAGGATATCAAGAATAGAGACTCAGATAAAATTTTCTGCAGCCTAAATCTAATGCTAAACAAATTTTATTTTATTTTTTTATAGTCAAGGTTAGCCTCTTTGACTTATTACTTTTATTAAATATTAGGATTATACAGTATGGTGTCCTTTTCAAAGAGGCCCTAGACAAGTATATTCTGACGAGTATACATTCTAGCCATATCTGCACCTTTTGGGTGCTTAATTAAGTATTTTACCTATGTGCTAGGTGCTACACTAGATGCTGTACCTGTAACTCACTATTACTTAAATTATCTAATTAAACCCTCTGATCTGAGTTTCCTATATCAATCCATCTAACCTCACTCAGAACATATAAGTGTTGCAAAGAGAAAAGGGAATATTCAAAATTATACTATAAAATTTTTCAAAAATTTAATCAAAAATACTTAACAACCACTTGATTAAATTTAATAAATTTTTTTTTATATGGATTCTACAAACCTGTAGAATTCAAATAAAAAAAAATTTATTAAATTTGGTCAAGTGGCTGTTAAGATATCTTTGATTAAAGTTTTGAAAAATTTTATAGTATAATGCTGGATGTTCCCTTTTCCCTTGGCCGCACTCATATGATATACTTCGGATAATATGTAAAATATATTACTACCAGCACATAAAATTTTTTGTAGCGCAAATCTATATACTGTATATTACTAAACGTCGTGTTCGTGTCTGTTTTCGGGTAGCAAAGCGCGTGCAGGGTACTAGTATTTCCTTTTTTGGAGTTGTGTCACACGCACTATTAGACGCGTATTGCATGTCTATTTAATAAATGGAGACTATTTAAATCCATAATTTGCGGACACACAAAATTCTGTTCTCTCTATCGTAAGTCCTTCGGACTATGAAATATTTCAAAAGCTTGACTATGGCGTTTTGTTGATTATTATCACTTATGTATCAAACACAAACATGATTTTAAAATTGTATTCGAACCTAAATCCTCTATTTGAAAGAATATTTAATAAATTTCTCAAGCCATTCAAAGAATCACGAAGAACAAAAACACGTGAAACGATTATTAAATACATATGAAGTAAATGTTTTTTCTAATATATAAGAAGGGGAAGGTCTTGCAGTGTTTGCGGGTTTGACTAGGAGGCTCTACTGATTCTCGAGTAGGTTTTGGTTAAGAACTTACAACATGGATTTACTTATGTAACCCTGCGAAGCCTGGAAAAGATTTGCAAGGTTCTTTTAATACTTTGCATATGGTTAGAGACGATAGAAGTGCCTCGCAAAAGTATGAAATATTGCTCAAAAAAAAAATGTGGTGCCATTTTTGGTCGTTTTACTTTCAAATCTGTTATTATTACTGTATATAATCATCGTGATAACTTTAAAGAAGTAAATAGGTTTTGGACCTTGGTCGAAACTGTCAAAACGACAGTACTTGCGAAATTTGACCAACATAATACGCCTATACTTGCTGGCAAAACCTGGACAAATCCCAAACCTCCCAAAAAATAATTGCTATTTATAATTTATAAAAAATTAAATCAAACAAATAATTTTAAAAATTTATATTTGATTTATTTAAACAAGAATTAGTAATAAAATTTTGAGCTATAAGTTTGGCCAGACCCTTTGAGTTTGTCCACAATAAGTTTACTTAAAGTAGACAAACCCAAAAGGTTTGGCCAAACTTATAGCTCAAAAATTTTATTAACAATTCTTGTTTAAATAAATCAAGTATGTTCTTATAGTTATAAACAATATATTTGTAAAATTTTAAGATTATTTGTTTGATTTAATTTTTATAAATATGGTGCTCCAAGTCACTTCTCATGTATTTTTTAAAAAATCTATAAAATCTTAAAGTTTTAAATACAGTATTTTTAAAAATATAACCGATAAAAGCCATTTTTCATTAGTTCTATCCGAATTATCGGTTAAAATTTTTAAAAAAGTTTAAAATTTAAAGTTATAAGTGTTTAAAAGTATTTTGTTTTCAATTTTTTGGCATTTAATCCAATCAGAATTAGTACACAATGCATTCTGATTGGCTAAAAAGCATTTATATAGACCCAAATTTGGCGCATTTGATGTGAAGTGACTTGGAGCACCATAGCAATTATTTTTGGGGGTTTGGGATTTGTCCGGGTGTTGCCGGCAAGTATAAATACGCTCCAATAAATGATCCTGATACGATATGGAAAGAGCAATTAGTATTCAGTTTGAAGAATAAACAAATCTATATCCCAGCACATGCTATTTTTCTTTTTAGATCCAAGAAGACTGAAAATACTGAAATATCGTAGTTTTTAATAATCATCGATGATAATATCATAAACAAGTCTTTGAGAACAAAAATATCAATAGTAAAAATCTTGTGATTAGTATGGAAAAATTATAAAATTTTTGAATTTTAAATGCGTTATTTTTTAGAAGACAATGCTGGAGATATAGTCAACGTCAAAATTATTGAATTGCGACATGCTGATTGTAATTATTTTGATTTCAATTATAGTTGGATAACGTCAGTATAGCCGAGTTGTCTCCTGTATACTACTGGGGAAATGTATATAATTTTATTAAAACTTGGTGAGACATTTCAAATATTTTACTTTTTTAGATTTTAATCAGAATGATGGATCTTGCTAGGTTATACGTGTTAAAAATTAAGAATTTTATTCCAAAAAATTTAAAGTATACCTCTAATTTAAATTTTATTTCAGCATTTTAAAGTGTGCTTTTTTTAACGCATTTTTTAATTAATACTTTCGTTAATGCTTTCTTTAATGCCTCTTTTAATGCACCAGGCTTAGATAATTGCTAATAAATAAGGCTCATAATTAATCATTTATAAGTTTAAGTTTTTTTTTTCTTTTTTCACTAAAAAAAAAAAAAAGAAAAAATTCAAATTACTTCTAAGTTTGAAAAACGTATATTAACTGCACAGAAATAGTCAGTAATTCAAGACTTTTAGAAGCGAAAGTGATGTTGAAATCTGAGGATCTCGATCTGAAAATACAAGCTCTATCAAAATCCACTATACTCTTTTAATACTTTTTTTATTAACAAATTTAAACATCGCACATAAAATAGATACAAATTTTAGCATCGTTCGATATTTATTAGTTACATCTCGATATAAAGTTTATGAATTTGATTAGCCAATCATGTGAATGCCTTCTGATGAGAGGTTCCACCGCAGCTTAGCCCATATGTACATATGTATGAAGATCAATTTAAAAAAAAAATTTTTAAGATCTCTTCTTTATCATAAAGATCCTTTAAGACGATGAAGTTTTCTAAAGGTTGATCAGATTTTTTTTTTATTTAATATTTATTTATCCTAAAGTTGCATGTATGGATGAATCTAATAATAAATACTTTCATAATATTAATTGATGTTACATTTTACAACTGTAGACGTTAGCTCTTCTCGACGTAAAAGTCGAAAAGCGCATTTCACTGCTCCATCCTCTGTTCGAAGAAAAATGATGAGCGCTTCATTATCAAAGGAACTTAGAGACAAATACAATGTATGGATCACTTTTTTTATTTTTTATTTTTTCTTAATAAATTTATTTCTAATTTATAATAATATTTTGAAATTGGTTCATGATAGATTCGATCAATTCCAATTCGAAAAGATGATGAAGTTCGTATTGTGCGTGGCAGTGGTACAAATAAAGCTCATGGAAAAGTGATTCAAGTTTATCGTAAAAAATGGGTGATTCATGTTGAGCGTGTCAATAGGGAAAAAATAAATGGTACAACTGTTCCTATTGGTATTCATCCATCAAATGTTGTTATTACCAAGTTGAAACTCGATAAGGATAGAAGAAATTTATTGAAACGAAAAGATAGATCTGCTTCTAATAAAGGTAAAGGTAAAGCAGCTGAAACAGACGATGCTATGGAAGAGGTATTATTATTAAAACATTAATTTGCATATTTAAAAAAAATTATTTGATCGTTTCTAATTATGAATCTTTTCTTTATGTTAAAGTAAAAACTTAGGATTAATTAAATTAAATAAACTTATTCAACTGTTTGAAATATTTTAAGTAGTGTAATACCGGTTTGATTAATAGATAATGCTTTCTAAATACAACTTCATTTGCAAGTTTATTGGCCTTTATCTTAGCATGTAAAAAATATTAAAAAGTATTCCAACCTTTTTCGATAAACAATATTTTCGGTGACATGTACACTACTGTTGTTGAGAATAAAGCAATTTTGATAAATTTAATAATATAGTTAATATATAGCACTGGATATAACTAAACCAGAGTGGTGAAATAATTTCACCACTATTGATAAAATTGGTGTTGAATTGGTGAAATTAATTTCGCTACATTTCTAGATATAACAAATAACTAATAAATTTGTTACAATTTTCACCGATCTTTTAAGCTTCGATTGATAGATATGAATAAACGACTCTAGCATCGTCTGTAGTGCATTTGTATTTTAATTTTTAATAATATGGATCATAACGATAATGAATATGAAATATGTTGTTGTACTCCGGATTGGAATTTGGTTGTCCTGATTCAAAACTGGCTTTGAAATTCTTAAGTGAGTTAGTTATCCGGCTTAATCTATACTCACCATAACCCTAACCTAACTAATTCTTTAGCCAGGCAATCCACTTAAAAATTCCAAAGCCGAGTAATTTGGTATAGTAGATGTTTAATAAATATTATTCCCTTAACACTCGTGAAACCATTCTGGGATAATCTGCATATAACGTGACAATTGTAAAAAAACCCGTTTTTTTTTTAACGCATCAGTTGAGAAAATGGCCACCGAGAAAGTATCATTTTTAGAAAGTCAGCAAAGCAGAGAGATCATAGAATTAAGTCAACTATTACAGGAAGTTAGCGACAATGTAACAACGAGTCCTTCGGGATTATCATTATCTGCCAAACGTCCAGTTGTTAAAAAAATACTGGAAGCGATGACCGCAGGGATAGACGTGTCGTCTTTATTTGGCAATGTTGTCAAGGTGATTAATTGCACTTAAATTATCATTATTAAGATTATCGGCGGCTAATTTTATTCCATATTATTTTGAGAAAGGTAGCTTCCACAAAAGATCTAGTTCTCAAAAAGCTGGCCTATATATATATATCAACGCAGGCTGAGCAAAATGCGGAATTGGTCATATTAGCAATCAACACTTTTCAAAAGGATCTTCGCGATGAAAATTCATTTGTGCGAGGATTAGCATTACGTACATTATGTTCAATGAGGTACTGATCTATATTTTAACATAATCTCAATACGATTTTATCAGAATTAAGGTAGAATTAAGCATTTATGTATTAATTTATTTATTTATTTATTCTAAAGGCTCTCAGAGTATGTACCATACATGCTTGAATCCTTGGGCCACGCTTTGAAAGACTCAAGCGCGTACGTTCGCAAGACAGCTTTAATTTCATGTATTAAAGTATTTCATCTTTCCCCAAAGCATGTGTTAGGTAGATTCTTATTATACTTTGTGTAAGTTTCAATTTGTTATGACTTACAAAATTGACCAAATGTCATATATTTTCAAATGACACGACCTATTTGAATATATTTTTATTAGATACCGATTTAATTGATCAATTATATAAAACTCTTGGGGATCGAGATTCCGAAGTTGTCGTGAATGGCGTCATGGCTTTAAATGAAATTTTACATTCCCAAGGTGGAATGACTATTAATAAAAAGATTGCACTGTATTTACTTCAAAGGATTCGTGATTTCAATGAATGGCATCAGTGTTTAATATTAAATACTCTAGTTAGATATAAACCGAGTGAAGAGGATGAAATATATGATATAATGGTATATATAACTATACTTAATTAAAATATTAAAAAAAAAAAAGGAAACCATATATCGACCATTGTGTGTTAAGGTATTTGTTGAAATGTATGTACTTAGAACCTTTTGGATGACAGGCTAAAGCATCATAACAGTGGTGTACAGTTAGCTACAATGAAATTATTTATACATTTAACTATCAACATCCCAGAAATTCATGAGGATTTGTACAAAAGGATCAGAGGTAAGCTATTTTAGATCAAATTTAAAATAAAAATCTATTATATGTTTATTTTTCCTAATTTATATTCAAATCTTTCAAAAGAACCTATGTTGACAATATTGTCTTTAAGCAATCCGGAAATTGCATATTCTTGTTTAGAACACTTGATCTTATTGGTGAAATCAGCACCTCAATTATTTCAATCTGATTATAAACAGTTTTACCGAAGGTAATTTAGATGATAAATTTGAAAAAAATGGAATAGTCAAAAATGACTTATTATTATTTGAACTACTACAGGATAAAAGAACCATCATTTGTCACTTTAAAGAAATTAGAATTGCTTCAAGAAATTGCTACAGATATCAGCGCCAAAGAAATTGTCGATGAAATTAGGTGAGACAGATATTATATGTCACTTTTCCGATTTTAATGAAATATATAATACATTTCTAACTATATATGTAATTTATATATAGTTGCTATATTACTAGTGATAATGGAGCCATTGCGAACAAATCGATACAAATTATCTCTAATATCGCTATACGCATCGGAAGCATATTAACTTATTCCCTCGAAATTTTCATAAAATTATTGGAAACTGGCAAAGACAATATTGTGTCTGGTATTATTACGATACTTGAAGGTATTATTTAACAAATATTTCAAATATTTGTGTATTGTTTTCGATTTAATATTTATTATTATTATCATTATTATTTTTAAAAATAAAGATTTGTTAAATGAAAGTCCTGACAAGTTTGATGGGCTGCTCTCTGTTTTGCCATCTATTTGGGCATCTGTAGATCTAACATCTCCTGCAGGACCTGCATTCCTAAACCTTTTAATGACTGTTGGAAATACGTTACCAGAAACTCCTTATATTTTAGAATCACTGATTGAGGATATCGAAAATTATCCAGGCACATCTTTTCGTTTGCAATTACTTAATTCTTCAGTGGCTCTATTCTTGTTACGGCCCGCAGAATGTAAAGATATGTTGGCAAAATTATTTAAGTGCACTATGAAGTCAACGGAAGATTTAGAAGTACGTGAGAGATCGTTATTCCTTTATCAACTACTTCGATTCGATATTGAAACGGTGAATATAATAATCTGATTATTAAGTTATCGATTATTATGTATGTGATGTATCGTCTGAACAAATTTTATTCAAATCAATTGTAAAAAGGTCAAGAAGATTTTCTCTTTTCGACATGAAACACCAAAAATTTCTAATAAAAATTCATTCAATACTACAAAGGTGAGGATGTCTTTAACAATTTCCGTGATTGAATATTCGTATCTTTATCAAATTATATCTTTAATTATAGGGTCGTCCATTGTACGAATTCAATTCACTTTCTATTACTTATGAGAAGCCATCCGAACAATTTACAACTGATAGTGAACCAAATTTATATTGGCAAAATCAAGAAGAGATTGATTCACAATTGTCACATACTCTGGCACATACTCTGGAATTTGATACAGTAATGTCATATCAACACGTAATTTACGTAATTGGCTTTTTTTATTGACTATGTATTAATTAACTGTCCAGGCTAGCGAGCATAATAGAGATACCTTTACACTGTCAAACGTGAATCCAATCGATGCAGACGCAAATGTATTCAAGTCATGTTGGAATAAATTCATAAATAGGTATTTTTAATGATTTTGTATACTTTGTGTTTGTTTGAGTCATACAACCTTGAATTTACAAGTTCAAATGTAATTTAGTGAACAATTAGAGATATCACTCCCGGAAACATCTATATTTGCAAAATCTTTGACACTTGATGACATTGAAGGTGTGTTTAAGGATAATAACATCTTTACTATGGCTTCAGGAAACAAAAGAGATGTATGGAAATTCTTTTTATATGCTGAAGAGGTAAGATGACACCATATTTATTCTATCCTATTCCTCTGTTTAGCATTCAACATTTATATGTAATTTAAAAACTTTTTTTACAGGAAAATTCTCATGTACTGGTTTTATGCGAGCTGAAAATTAATATAAATCTAGCATCAGCTAATATTAACATCAAAACAGGATACTTGTCACAAGATAAAATTGTTTCTGATGCGCAGGAAACAGAATTACTTAAACATTTTTCTCATTATTTAACCACGTGTTTGCAGAATTTAAAGAATTTGGTAACCTTTGATGTATAAGTTTACATAATAAATAAAAAATAAATAAAAATTAAGAAAATTACGTAATACATAAGTTATGTAACATTAGGTACAGCCAATAAAAATTATTTCATTACAGTAATTCGGTCTGAAAGAACTAACTCATGCCTCGTAAAATTTTCCCGTTTAAAAGAAATAAAATGGTTTCGAGTAAGGACTATCAGACATTTTTAGATAGTGAACGAATATATACCTGCTCTAAATGCCACACACATCTTGCTGAGCACGGAGAACTCATTTCTAAAGTATGATACTTATTTTTCTTTCTTGTATTAACAGTAACTTACTTCAAACTACTTCTTTTGCAAATAGGCATTCCAAGGCCGACTTGGACGTGCATACTTATTTAACGCTGTGTATGTTTCGATATGACATTTATCACAGTCCCACAAATAGTATATATTTATTGAAAACTCTTTAAATAACCATACACTTTATGACCATAGTGAAAATGTTTGTCTTGGTCAAAAAGAAGACCGTACACTGATTACTGGAGTACATACTGTCAAAGACATAAGTTGTGTTGGATGTAATACAGTTGTTGGATGGAAATATGTAAGTAATGATCAGGATGATCTATATCTATTCCTTATTCTTAAAATTTTATTTATCTTTTTTTTTCAAAGGTTCATGCCTTTCAGGAAGATCAAAAGTATAAAGAAAATAAATATATAGTTGAAAAAGCAATGATTCTCAAAGAAAATAATTGGGATGAACCATGAATATTATTATTATTAATTATTATTACATCGATCGGCAAAGTTAACTGATTATGAAATGGTATCATGGTTTTTTTTTTTTTTTTTTTTTGTGCTTAAAAAACAAAAGGATCCAGTAATTTTATAAGTGGTTTATATATATGAAATCTTTCTTCTTAACTCTTTTTTTTTACATTTCTCATTTTTTGTATATAACTTATGCGTATTCGAGGACTTTTATACCAAGAATTATGAAGTATTCATTAAAAACTTCGAATGTGTTTTTGGCGCCAAAAAATAAGGTTCAAGTTCATCAAACTTGTGCACTGTTGCACAATGATATAATTTTGTTATACAGAATACCTAATGCGCATGTACGCATTTTAAAATAAAGAATACATAATTGTTACCAGTATTCGTATACTGTATTAGCCGCAGTAATTAAAATTAAAATACAAAATTCAGTTTGAAAAGTATTGTACGCTCATATGATCTCGTGCTTATTTGGTATTGTGCGCTCTGCACGTGCACCTATCGAATTCTTTACACAGTCATGAATTTTATTTATAAAATCGTAGACACACTTTTTTAAAATTATTCGGTATTTTAAACGCATCTTATTCCGTAAACCATCTGTAAGTCAGTATGTAAGTTGAAATAATTAATAAATGAAAAAATTAGTTTAAGCGAAGCAAATTATGTACATGTTAGTGCTTACACTTTACCGTATTGTCTTTTAATCTCATTCTATGCTTTTTAATGTTATCTGGCTGTAGTCTCGGCGCTGTCAAACACTATAAGAGGTACTTAATAATTAACAATAGTCCAATTGCAATTGTAGATGTAATTTTTGTAAATAGATATATTAAGAAATTTTATTAAATTTAATCATAATAGTTTTTTTTTTTTTTTATTGAGACCTTAAAACATTACTATCTTCAACATTAGAAATATTAAACTATATGATTACATCTAATAAATTTAATAGACATCGTAAAGAAATTATTTACAAATTACATAATAATAATAATAATAACAATAACAATAATAATAATGATAATAATAATAATAATGATAAATAGAGTTTGAAAAAAAGTTTTTCATTCACATACGTGTCTAATGCAATTTGAATTAATCGAATACGGATTAATTATTTAGTATTCCAGTTCCTTGTCATGACTTTTGATCATTTTGAACATTTGTATTGGAAGAAGAAGCCGGTGGTGGTTCAATAGGCCAAACACCATCTCTCTTCCACCCACTGACCAATATTTTAATCTATGAAAATAAAATAATCATAATTCATTAAAAAAAAAAAGGATAATATTTAGATTTAAATTGTTTATAATTTTGAATAAAAGAAAATAAAAATAAAAAACGCATACATACCACGTAAGGTAAAGGAATAGGTCTTACCAACTTTTTCTTTTCATGAACTAGAGAATCATATATGGAATTATAATTGTTTGGAGTAATATTCGACAAAGCCGGGTTATCTTTGTTATCAAAAGTTTCTGAAATGTTTTGATTCTCGCGAGTCCATAATTCTCTTCGTTTGTTCCAGAATTCCAGTCCCTCATTAACAAATTCACTTGTAGTTTCATTATCCTTATTCTCTACTATAACTTCTTGTGATGACGCGCTTTGTATTTGTATTTCTTGTTCAAGAGTTTCTTTTAAATCCATTTTGTCTCTAGTAACCTCATTTGGGGCATGTTTATAAGCATTCATTAACGTTATTGACTTTTTCTTATTTTAGGTTAAAAGATAATCAAATGAATTTAAAGGGTCGTTTGTCCAATTTTGATTGGAAGATTGCCCCTATAAATACCTCATTGAGATTTGGATCAACAAAAATTAATCCAATTCCGTGGTAAATAACGATAAACTTTAACTTTGGTATTATAAATAAATTTTCTCAATGTGTAAAAGCGGATTTTAAACATTGCAATTTGTTCTCGACCGTTTTTTACCTAAATATAAAAAAAAAAAAAAAAAAAAAGCTCATTTATAAAATAGTTCTCAATTAAACATGTGAAAAAAATGTCTGCTCAATTACTACCTCAAACAGCTTCAAGACGCCTTCCGACAACTTACCATTCAGTTCAACCTGGTTTTCATGCAAGAAAACAACAAATTCTAGCTTCATTAACAGACCAAACAAGTACTCGAACCGATAATAATGCTAATAAGTATTCGTCCTCTAAAATATCTTCTCCATTAATTGATGAAGCAATTTTTCCTATAATCGAATTAATTAACAAACATGAGGATTATGTCGTAACGAGTAGTTGTTCCGGTAAAATTTCAATTATTTCTACTAATGCTAGTAGCAATAAATGTAGAAATTCAAGGAAATCCTTCTCTGGAAAGCTAGAATCTTTAACAACTGGTAGTACTAACCATGGTGAAACTGAAAATGGTGTTGTTTATAGGCATCAAGATGATTTAGACGACATTGATGATCCAGATTTAAATTCTGGTGGTGGGAGTGGTGGAAAATTATTATTTGTCGCTCATTCGAAAATTAATTTACCTAAAGAAAAAGATTTAATTAATAATTTTTTGTTGAAATTGATTTTTGGTGAAGATTTTGAGAATGTAACATTATTTAATAATGAAAGTTATAACTTGTTACAAAATAATGATTATAACTTGATTTATTTCAAATTCGATCCAATGGTTGGTATTTATTTTATTATTTTTTTTTATTTTTTTTTAAGAGTTGGAAAATTCCTTTTCACACAGATTTCTTTTTTAGATTTTGCATGCTGAAGCTCGTACTTTAGATGCTGCAAAAAATCTTGTTAATTTGGCCGTTGATATTGGTTACCGTGATTCTGGTCTTTTGATTACCTCAAAAAGACATATGGTAGCAATTCGTAATTCTATGAAACTCGAAACCCCAATCGCATATTTAAATTTATCAACTCAAAAAATACACCTTTTGGTGGATTTATCCTACTTGCATTTACTTATTAATCTAAGTAATCAGAATTTTGACGAAATTCTGAGAAAAATTAATGATTTATTGAGCACGCTTGACAATAATCTTTTCAAAGGTATGGGAAGCGGTGATGATGGGGCTAGAAGAGCATCAAAGGACGGTGGAAAGCCATGGGATCACAAAGAAGAAAGAAGAGAACGAAAAAGAAGAGATATATTGGCCAGACAGATTGGATTAAGAAAAAGTGGTACTTTAAGTGATGGTAATGATGGTGATGTATCAACTGTTGACGACGAAAGTCAAGGTTTAGATAATTTGGATAACGTATGAAAAATTAACTTTGACTATAAAAAAACGATTATTCGTGCTCTTATTATAACTGCTGTCGTTTCGTGAATTCAATTGACAAGATCCAATTTCAATTTAAATTCGAGGATCTTTTTGTAGTATAGGTGACTCCTCTAATAAAATGTATTATTAATCAATGATTATAGAGTAGAGTCACAAGAGATGCAAGTCTTTCATGCCCAAAATTATGCGCTATTAAATACTTGTCATTAATTATTTGAAAATTTTCCATTAAACATATACTTTGTGTTATGTTCTGGCGTTATACAGTACTTTAGCAGTGATGAAAAAAAAACTATAGCGATAGGTTTTGCACAAACTGTTTCGGTGGACATCTATGTGCCACTGCCAAATTTGATTATTACCTAATTTGGTCTAGAAGTAAGCATCTGCATTGCTAGGATACTGTATATTAGATTTAAAGCTATATATTTATTAATTATATAGTTAAATATGCAAACTTGATTTAACAATTACCAAGTAGTGAGTAATACAATTAGCTTTAGCCAAAACCAACACTATTTAATAACTTAGTTACAAATTTATTAATAAAATAGGATATTTTACAAAATTTAACACAGTATTGTTAATTTGCTAAAAACAGATAATTTGCTTTATTTTATATAGAATAGTAATAGACAGTTTTTTATTATCCATATATTGTATATATATATTTTTTGTTGTTAAACAAAGATTCATCTATTGTTAATATGTTAATATGCTATAAGAATATTTATAAACAATTTGTAAACAATTTTGATTTAACACCAAAGCTTATAGTTATTAATAGCCCTTTTCACTTTATTCTTTACAATTTATTGTTTTTTTGTTGATACATATTTGATTTTTTTTTTCTAAACCACATTGAATATCTACTGCTTTTTTCTTCTAGCCTATTAAGCAATATATAACATTATTAGTGTTGCTGATCTACGAAACTTAAAAAAAATTTGAAGCCATTCATTTACCTGAAATAGCCCAGTATAATAACCAGAATAGTACCATGACATCAATAAATTACTCAAGGCTTCGTCATCTACACAGTATAATAAGAATTAGAACAGTTCAATAATACATAAAGAAATTTATAATAAAAATTACCTATCATTGGTGGCGGAACAACAGTTTGTGGCTAAACAAAACAAATCGTGTCAAAACAAATAAACATAAGCATCAAAAATCAATAAATAAACTGCTAACCTTTGGAGGTTGCATTGGTCTCCACCCTGGAACATATGACATATTAGGATCCTGCAAATAATAATAGCTAATGAATTAACCTTAAATTTATAAATACGAATATTCATAGACATATATAGAAAAAATTTACCATGTTTGGCGGAACGTGATGATAAAATTGAGGAGGAGGTGGAGGAGGTGGAGGATAATAATTATTATACCATCCGTAAGCTGAATAATAAGCATTATCACCTGCCGTTGAATCAGAATTATGCCTATGTGTATGTGTATGGCCAGTTTCTTCTACTGACGAATCATCAACTTCATTTTGTGTTTGATCTGTAGAAGTATCAGCCTCGGTTTTAGTTGGCTTTTCAGAAAAAGGCCCGGTCTTCGGTGGAGGAGGAGGATATGAATAGTATCCAGGATACTGCTGATGGGAGTACGATGGATACCCTATATGTGAAGACGATTGCGAATAATATGGTGGCATTCCTTTACTAGCTATAGATGATTCTCTTGATCCCGTTGACTTTTTAGCTTCTCCTGACCCACAGTCACTATTAGATATTGTTTATTAAAATTAAGATTGTAATTAATCTTTAATTATTACGATTTGCATGTGAAAGTTATTAATTTACCTTGTTGATTGAGTTTTCTTTGATAAAGCTCCTTTATTTTTAATGTTATCAGTTTTATTGGTAGTTTTTTCTGTTTTAATGCTATGAAAAGACTAAGAAACGAACGTTCAGCGGAAAGTAAAAGCCTAATCAACTGTAAAGCGAAGTTAACCAGTTGATTACTTGGTATTCCTTAACAGCATGATCCCAGGCACTTATTAAGGCGCTATCGTCCCAAACATCTGAATTCTTTTAGGAAGCAATGTTTTAGTTTGTGATGAATTTAATAAAAAAAACACTAAACTTTCAGTACCTCTTCTGTCAAATCTTCTTGAAGAACAAGGTCATTCGAAACTTCTGGTAATGCAGTTGACTGAAAGTTGGATCCCAATTGGATCTCCATATCTCTATATTATGAGAGCTTGAAACGGTTCTTAACGTTAATGTTGTTAGGCTTTATTTGCTATCTATCCGGTGTTACTATCGGAATTCGGGAGAGCGTCAGTAATTGGGCCGGATTTAGATCAACGATAGTGAACGACGGGTGGATTATTTAGGAAATAAGGTTTCTTTATAGAGGGATGGGACGGTTATAGACTAGTAACTTAGTGGTGGCGAATGAAGGCGCAATCACGTGATGATCATCCTAACAATGATTGGCCATTAAACTCA